CTCCATGAGCACAGGTCTCTCTTCCTTGGACCTCACTTCACCCTCTTTGCTGATCCTTCTGGTGGGGCAGCAGCACAGCCTGCCTGCTTCCCAAAGTTCAAAGAGGAGCCCGAGTCTTGAGAGCTACTGGGAGTGGGAGGCCCCCAGAAGGAGCAGCTGTAGCAAGCCGTGAGGGGCAGTGCCCTGGGGTGGTTTACTTGTTTGGTCAGCTCTTCCCTGGGAGCCTGGGCAGGAGAACTGAAGGTCTGGGATCACGTGGCTCTGTGGTGGGTGATCCTGGCCTGTGATGACTCTGCCCACACAAGTGACAGTTTCTGCAGAGACAGGAATTGAAGCAAAGACTGCTTGGGACTCCCTCACAGAGGCACAGGCCACGTACACGCACCAGAGAGCAGGTTGGCCTTGTGGAGGACCTTGACTTCGAACCACAGTTGGACAGGCCTGGGGGCAGCAGAACCTGAGCACAAGCCAGTTAATGAAGGGCAGTTGTCGAGGCCATACAGAGTAGGCGGGACAGAGCTGAGGACACAGCTTCAAGAGCTGAGATTCTCTGCTTAGTGAGAACAGAGTGTCAGGCACCGAGCCTGCCCAGTGGCCAGCCGCATTGTCATCAGGTGGGCATCTGTGCCCACGACCCTGTGGACTCCTGACCCCGGTGCTCAGTGCCCTGACCACTGCTTCAGGTGGACTCACTGCAGACACAGCCATGTCACCTGTGAGAACTGAGATCATCTTAATTTTTTGCCTCCAGAGGTGACTGCTGGCTTCAGTGACGTGTCTAACAGAAGGGACAGTCTTGCCACTCTTCCTTGCCTCCAGCCTTAAGTGTGATGCCTGCTCTGGGTTGCTGTTTGTGGGCACCCTTTATCAAACTGAGGAAGTTTCCTTCTATTCAGTGTTCTAAGAATCTTTTATCTTTTAAAAAAATATTGAAGATGCTACATTTTATTAATATTTTCTGATTCTACAGGGATGACCATATGATTTTTAATGTTCATGCTGAGTTACACTGGTTAATTTCCTACTGTTAAAACATCATTGCATTCCTGAATATGAGGAACTGTCTTTTTAAATACATATTTCTGGATTTAGTTTTTAGTAACCTGTTTAGGATTTTTGCATCTTTGCTCGTATATGAGATTAGATTATTTTGTCCTTTCTCAGAATGTTTTTATCAGGCTTCATTGTTAAGGTTGTTAAGGTGTTTAGTTGCATGAGTTTTACAGACTTCTGTAGACACATCACCCCCACACACTGCAGACCTGAGGCACCTACACCAGCTGTTGCTTTCTTCCTGCCCCTGAGGCCACGTTGCCCCCAAGCAAGGCTGTCTTCATCCTATAGAAGTGATACCTTCTATAGAGAATGTAGCTGAACAGCTAGGAGGGCCTGGCAACCCACTCTAGTATTCTTGCCTGGAGAATCCCCATGGCCAGAGGAGCCCAGCGGGTTACAGTCCAGGGGGTTGCAGAGAGTCAGACACAACTGAGTGATTAAGAACAGCACAGTACCGCACAGCTGCAGAGCAGCTTTTGGTTGAATGCACATGATGTTCCTTTACCTATCAGGACAGAAAGCTTTAATCCTTTCTTGTAAAGTGACATAGCTGATTTTAAAAAACTTTTGCCTAAAAAAAAATTGTGATTACTGGTTTGGGCCTAAATCTACCATATTACTAAATGCTTTTTGACTGTCATATCTGTTTTATTTCCTTGTTTCCTTCTGGGTTATCATTTATCAGTTTAGTTTTCCTTTTGCTGGCTGGAAAGGCACATCGTCCCCACACTTATGTGCTCTTCCTGCATGTCAGTTACGGTGCACGGGGATCTCTACCTGCTCCCAGTTAACACAAGGCCCTCCTACTCCATTCACCCCACTCCCAACTGGCATGCCACTGAAGTCTTGAACTTTAGTTCCCTCTGTATTTCTAGCTCCAGAGGACATTTTCAGGGTTTTACACAGCCATTATTCATTTAGATTGATCCATGCCACTTTTTTTTTTTAACTATATATTCCTTTGTGCCTCAGTGTTATTTAAACACAACCTGGTTATGCTCCTGTGCACGCTGTGGTAGGAACTACTGGCCTGGGCTTCAGTCTGAGTTTCCCTGCCCATGGCCTGGCTCATCCCTTAGCACACCTTTCCCTCTACTCTGGATGAGTGTCTGACTGCATGAGTCAGACCTCTCCGAGACTCCTCCTGCTCAACAGGTTAGGTTTATGAACTCCTTGTCTGTTCCCTGCCTCCTTCTAAACCCGCACTCTCACTCACATCCTGCCCCCCACGTTTCCGTGATCCTCTGTTCACACTGAGCTGCTTCCCTGGGTGCCCAGGTCACCTTCTTCCCCTCCTACGTCTGAAGCTGCTTCAGTCCTTCAAGGCCAGTCACCTCGGTGCTTTCCTGTGCTCCCTGGGCAGGAGCCTTTCTTCAAGAGGCTGCTCCACAGAGGCCTCATCAGTTTGTGCCCGTATTTCCTGGCCAAATAGGAAAACAGGACTTAAAACAGTTGATCTTCCAGATGGGGGTAGTAATCTTCCATGTGATGCTTGGAACCTGGAATCAGAATCTGTGTGAAAGAACTTAAAAATTCAGTTCTTGGTCAGAAGATTAGTGGTTGGCAGTCAAAGACAATTATGTTTCAAATGCTTTATAAAAAAAATAATAAAACAGGTCTAGCTTTATTTTATTCCCTGAAATTTATTGCTTCAAGCATCAGTGGATAATACCTCACTCTACAACCTTGGAGAACTAATACGCTTTGTGAGAAGCTGAGCTTCATCCAGGCAGACCTCACTGTGTTGTGCAGGTGTGTGTTCTTTACACACTTTGAAGGCATGTGGCAGCCCTTCATCGAGCAGGTGTCAGTGCCATTTTCCCACAGCATTTGCTCACTTTGTGTCTCTGTCACGTTTTGGTAATTCTCACTTTGTTTCAAACTTCTTCATTATTATATTTGTTACGGTGATCTGTGATCAGTGATCTTAATGTTACTACCACAACTTGCTGAGGGCTCGGGATGGTTAGCATTTTTTAGCAATTGAATATTAACTAAGGTATGTATATTGGTTTTCTTAGATATAAGCTATTGCACACTTCACAAGAATACTGCACAGTGTAAATATAACTTTTGTATGCACTCCAAAAACAGTTCATGTGACTTACTTTATTTCAGTACTCACTATATTGGATGGGTGGTCTGGATCTGAGCCTGCACTGTCTCTGAGGTCTGCCTGTACTGTAGTTGTTTAAACAATATTTTTTCTTTGCCATGCAACTCTTCTAAAGTAGAATCTTACAGGGAGTCGCAGATAGATGAAGCAAATACAGGACTCGCACTGTGGGCATGCACATGTGGTGAGCCTCCTTCACAGCACAGTCACCAGCAGCACAAGGCGCCAGCCCTTCTGTTCAGCTCAGGGTCTGAGGTAGGTTTCCGTGATCTTTTCAACTAGGAACTTAAATAACTTTTTGTAACATGCCAACAACCACTCTGGCACTTAAAAGTAACTTTATTAAGGTTCAGGATAGCTGTTTATACACAGTTTGATATAATAGGCTACCACTCGCATCAGGTCACTGAGCTTGCCACGTCGCTCCTGGGCTAAGGCTCAGCGCTGCAGCACTGGCCGGGCTCGGGAGGCCAGGTTACCTGCCTGCGGGGACTCACCGGCTCTCCTGCTCCCACCTTCCAGAGGCTGGGCATTACTGATCCTGAGAAGAAAGTGCAGAGCTTTTTCTGTGATACTTATAACTTATGTTACTAAAGTTCTAAAGGGCTAAGAGACATTTGTGAACTTTAAAAAATGGAATTTAAAGTGTTGGTCCGGATAAGCTGTGCTACAAAATGAAAGGTTTCTTTTGTGACTTAACAGAAATTCGTGAAAAATACACTGCTCAGAATCTGACATGTGCTGTGTAGAACATTCTGTTGTCTGAGAAGTACTGATCATCCACCTCTGTTTTAAAATAACTCAAACATATAATTAACTAGTTCTGATAAAGTGTTTAAGATCAATTTGCAAAAAGAAAAGTTAAAGTGATTTAAACACAGTTTAGTAAATATGTAGATACATTTTATTTGTCAAGAGTAAATATCAGTTTCATTTAGAATATTCAGGTACAAAAAGTGAAAACTTAATGAATGTTAAGAAAAAGTTAGAAACCATTAAATTGTTCTGCAAATGCTAAGGCACTGAATTCAAATATCCTTTACAATATGAATTACCTAAATTTTTATCTTTAATATTCAGATGTTCATAGCTGTTTTCTTAAGAAACATTTTTAGTAAGATGATTTAACTTTATTTACCCTGGAAGACAGTTTTAAACAATTATGTAATACAGACTAATGCACACAGTGTGAGGACACCCAGTTCTAAAGTTACTTATCACTAGAAAAGGGCTTATTTACCTGAGTGTTTCTGCTGTTAAACATATCACAACAACACATGGACCACAATGCTGAAGCACATATTATGTAATCTGATACAAAAGCTTAGGATCATGTTTCCAACTAGATAATTGTATCAAAACTTTAAAAGTTTTGAGCTGCTGGAGTTTCAGGTACATAATACATTTTAAAACATATTCCCCAAAGTTTACCTTTACATACCTTTGGTATGTACACAAAAGATTTTTCTTGGAATATATATGCAATCAGAGCCTAATATATATGAGTCCTGTATTTTCAAAGCCACCAACAGACACTCTTGTCACAGTATAGTGACAGGCAGTGGGCAGCAGGGGAAATTACCTCAATTCATCACAAACTTATCTTAAACTACTAACGGTGAATAATACCATCAAGTCTGGCTTATATATTGACCTCATACTTAAAAGTATTTTCCCATAAATGGCAGTAACTGTGGCCATTTGCCAGATAAAGAATAATACAGCATAAGTAATACATCAAATAAAAACAGCAAGAAAATCAAAGCATACTTCTAACATTTTAATAGCTTTTGCTTGTGATGACCTTCTGTGATCTGGAACCTTTGTTTTACATAAAATTGGAGCTGGAAAGAGAAAAGAAACCTTTTGTTTGGTACAATAGAAAACCATATAGGAAATAGAAATCACTTCTTTTACAAAGTTTTTACAGATACACATCTAGTATATGATAGGATATCTAGCTGTGGGACTCTGGAAAAGAAAAAACAAACACATTTCTTGAGGGTAAATTTTTCTGAGCTCTTAAACTGTGGGCTTGGCCCTGATTTCGCGAACAGCAGCCCATACCTTAGTTTCACAAGGTGACTGTAAAGGTTTTTCAAGTATGAAATGAAGTGGGGGAATCCAAATTTAGTAAAACTGGACTAAGTTGAGATGATGAGAAGGTGAAAGGCCCCTTAGCTTTATAATTCAAGACACACTGAAAAGAAGTCATAAATTATATGTAAACAGTTGGCCCTCTGGATCTGAGGCTTCCACATCTGAGGATTCAACTGACTGAGGATCAAAAGTATTGGGGAAAAAAATTCCAGAAGGTTCCAAAAACCCAAACTTGAATGTGCTACTTGCTGGCAAGTATCTGCCTAGCACTTATATTCTGTTCACATTGTATTAGGTGTTAGAAAAAACCTGGAGATGATTTAACATGTACAGGAGAATGTGCATAGGTTCTGTGCAAAAACTGTGTATTTGATATGAGGGACTTGAGCAGCAGTGGATTTTGGTGTCTTCCTGGAACCAGTCCCCCACAGATAATGGGGTGGTTTATGTTTTGAAATTCAGGGTATTCATTTTTTCCACCAATAACTGCATGCCTTTTTGGTATCCGGCACTGTTCTAGGAACTGAGGGTGGATACATCAGCCAACAAAAGAGATCCACTCCCTGGAAGAGCTTATATTAAAAGATTATACATGAGAATTCCTTCTTCCCACAAACCATAACGTCCACAGGCCAATTAAATCCACTCCAAACCCTGTGGATTTAACTCTCCATAGTTCAAAAATGGAAAGCTATCATGGGCAGTGTTATATTTTCCTAACTTTTTGAAGGTGACTTATAAAGTATTCTGACAATACCAGTTTGAAATACAATGTGGTGATAAAAGAAACCCCAGGACTGCCTTGTGAGGCCCAGGAGAATCTGAGCTGCCACAAGGCGGGCTGGATGCTCAGCAGAGTGTGCCAACAGGCGAACTGAGGAGGACAGTCAAGGGGGAGAAATACAGTAAAAAAATACAAAGGAGGGAAAACCACCTTATTTTCTAAGACTTTGGTTACACTGATTTAACACATACCCCAGACCTACAAGCCTTGGCGCCATCCTCCACCTGTTATCAAGGCCGCCCTGGCGCACGGGGTCCCTCTCTACCTTCCTCTGCATCTTTACGTCCACCAATCGTTTCACAAGCTCTGACATCAAAGCACAGGAGTTCCAATCGATAGCCTGGTTCCCTTATTAAAATAAAAATTCTCACAAAATCATTAGTGGAATTTGTTTAAAAGAAGTAAACCTAAGAATTAATTTTTTATCAAGTATTATGTCTCTAATTTCCCCAGCAAAGTATATAGCTTCTGTCAGGCATGAAAGTCGACAGAACTGACAAGAGGTCAGTAGTTACTAGACATGTCCTGGAGTGGACAGTGCCCTCAGGTCACAGACCCTCCCATGTTGTGGCAAATTTGTGTTGTGTTCACTCACACATTCATGCAAACATTCACTCAGATGTGCACAGAGCACTAGACACGTGGCAGGTACCCTTCTAGCTGCTGGGGAATCCGCACACTGGGAGGGACCAGGGCTCTGCTCTCAAGGAGCTTTTGTTTCAGTGCAAGAGACAGAGGGGAATGAGGAGACAGGCCAAAGAGCCATGAAGAGGGGGCACTGAGGCTGGGGGGGTCAGACCAAGGGAAGGGCTTACTTCTTGCGGTCCTTGTCCTTCCTCAGGTTGCTGCCTGGGGTCATAAAGGTCTGGTTCTGGTATATCTCAGAGGTAGCTTTCTTCTTGGAGAAAGCGATGATTTCTTCTTCCAGAAGTCTTCTCTTCTCTTCCAGCCTCAGCTTCTCCTCTTGGTGGACTCTTTTAAGGTGCTCAAACTTGGCCTGGAGCTGTGAAGTGAAGTGAGATTCCTGCTGAGGATGCTGTGTGGCAGCACACACCCGTGCCTCTTGGCGCTGCAGCCCTGCTCAGGCTGCCTGCACAGCAACCAGGCAGATGTTCACATGTGGAACTGCTTTAACATTAACTGAAATGAGCTCCCATGCAAAAACACATGAGCAAAACAAAAACAGCCTCACAAACAAACCTCAGTTTTTTAAACATTTGACCTCTTCTTAGAGTTTCTCTTTAGTTGCTCTACACATTTTCACCAAAAAGCCTCTTCAAATAAAGTTTCTAAAACTGTTCTTAATAAAAGTGAGGGACATAAATTATAGAATCAAGGTATCAAAAATAGGAAAAGTCCATCTTTTCCAAATAAATTTACCATGTACTAGTGAAATAGCTGTTGGTTACACTGGTGAACCTGTGTGGAAAGCAGTGTCAGTTTAAATCAAGAACCTTAAAAATCTGATGTGTTTTCCCACAGTCATTCACCACCTTGAAATCTGAACTAAATCAAACACCGTTGAAGATGTGTGTCACAGTCAGCTTTGTATCTGTGATTCAGCTGAGTGTGGACGGCGCAGTCTTGTGGACTTAGTAAGTGAAAACACCCACCTATAAATGGGCTTACGCAGCTCACTCCCCAGTGGTTTAAGGGTTAGCAGTCCTCACTGTCGAAGAAGGCAATGGCACCCCACTCCAGTACTCTTGCCTGGAAAATCCCATGGCCAGAGGAGCCTGATACGCTGCAGTCCATGGGGTCGCTAAGAGTCTGACACAACTGAGTGACTTCACTTTCATTTTTCACTTTCATGCATTGGAGAAGGAAATGGCAACCCACTCCAGTATTCTTGCCTGGAGAATCCCAGGGACGGGGGAGCCTGGTGGGCTGCTGTCTATGGGGTCGCACAGAGTTGGACACGACTAAAGTGACTTAGCAGCAGCCTTTACCGTAGTAGAATCTACACCGTAATTGGGGAAAAAAACCTTTGTCTCTAAGAGAAATAACACTTTAAAATTCATTTATACTAAATACACTCGATGCAGTCATTAAAATGAGTTTTGCCAAAGTTTAGAGATTTCAGATTTCCCTGGTTTAATTGTTGTTTATCTGAGAAAAAAAAAATCTAGGGACTTTCGCAGGTTCCTTATGAATCAGCCGTGTGCCAAGAACACAAGCACAGCATCTAGAATCTGCATCGAAAAGTCACTCTCTTGGGAGGGGGATTCCTGGGTCTGGTTTAACTTTCAATTCATATTTTCAGCTCTGGGCAGCAACCTAATGTGTATACAAAAGGTAGGACTTGGTTTATAGAAAAGATGGCATATGATCATTGAGGAAATACTTTGCTAAAAACTAGAGGCTGAGGGCAGAGAGCAGAGAGCTACGTTGCTTCCTAATAAAATTCGATGTTCTGGATACAGAGCAGCTGTCTACTGAGCCAGCAAACCTCACAGAAGAGTTTAGACAGAGACAGAATAGTGTTGAACAGATGAGGTGAGGCCCAAAGACTCTTGTATTCCTGAGGCTGTCACTTCCAGAGAGATCAGTGCCTTAGCATCTGCATGTGCCTTTATATATATATATATAGCTAGGACATGGAAACAACCTAGGTGTCCATCGGCAGATGAATGGATAAGGAAGTTGTGGTACACATACACAATGTAATATTACTCAGCTATAAAAAAGAATGCATTTGAGTCAGTTTTAATGAGGTGGATGAAACTGGAGCCTATTATACAGAGTAAAGTGAGTTAGAAAGAGAAACACAGATAGTGTATATTAACATATATGGCATTTAGAAAGATGGTAATGACAATCCTATATGCAAGGCAGCAAAAGAGACAAAGATGTAAAGAACAGATTTTTGGACTATGTGGGAGAAGGCAAGGGTGGGATGATTTGAGAGAATAGCATTGAAACATGTAAAATATGTAAAATAGATGACCAGTGCAAATTCAGTGCATGAAGCAGGGCATTCAAAGCTGGTGCTCTGGGACAACCCAGAGGGATAGGGTGGGGAAGGAGGGGGGTTCAGGATGGGGGGACACATATGCACCCATGGCTGATTCATGTCAATGTATGGCAAAAACCACCACAATATTGTAAAGTATTATCCTTCAATTAAAATAAATTAATTTTAAAAGTTATAAAGAGTTGGTGGTATGCATATAAAGAGAGTGGCAGCTCTCTGAGCATGCGTGCACCCCCATGAATTGGGAAGAAGAGCAGAAGGGAGGGTAAGGCTTGGAAAGGGAGACTACAGGACAGGTTTATTATACATTATGTGAGTAGAATCCAATCTCTGATTCCTTAAATGGAGGGTGCATACTTTATATCCTTAAATATTCTGGAAAGTTGTAGAGTACTTCACATATCATTCATGAGGTTGACTAGAAATTCCAGGAAAACTGTAAAGACAAAAATGGCATAGAAAAGGGGGTAGGCGGAATCTGACTATTATTTACATTACATGGAGTTCACAACTTTGGGCAGCAACAGTCTACTCCACATACATGAAGCACTCACTTGTGGTTCCACTTTTCACTACAAGGCCTTTAATTCAGACACATTTTCAAATACTTGAAAAGTTAAAAGCAGCAGACTTTCCGTGCTGTTGAAATTACTCACTGATGTTCTGAAAGGTCTGTGGCCACATGGTACACTGCTGTCTCTTGTATAAACGAGCCTCTGAGGACATCATACATTCTGCTGTGCAGTGACCCTTTTTAAAGTATCTATTTTTAAAAAGTGAATACCAGAAACAACATTCCTTTCTTGCCAAACTAGCCAATGTCTTTGACCTGAGTTCTGTACTTTGCTGGGTTCCCAGAAGTGTCTCTAAGAAGCACGCAGGACCGTGGCTCAGCCACACCTAGTATATATATTGCATATACTCACTCTGGACTCTCCAGGTCTGGGTTTTAGTGCAGCTGTACTTGTTTACTTCAAAGTATCTACAGTACTTGTGGAAACAGGAGAGGCATAAATATTAAGTGAACAATTAAGAAATAAGACGTGTGTGGTTAGTTGCTAAGTCATGTTCAATTCTTTGCAATCTGTGGACTGTAACCCGTCAGGCTCCTCTGTCCATGGGGATTCTCCAGGTAAGAATACTGGAGTGGGTTGCCATGCCCTCCTCCAGGGGATCTTCCCCACACAGAGATTGAATCAGTGTCTCCTGCATTGGCAGGTGGATTCTTTACCACCTGACCCACCAGGGAAGCCCTTTATTATGTGTAACTCATGGACAATTATGAATAATTAACAGATGTTTTGAAGAAGTTAGTAAAGTGAAAGTCTCTCAGTTGTGTCCGACTCTGCGACCCCATGGACTGTAGCCTGCCAGGGTACTCTGTCCATTGTGATTCTCCAGGCAAGAATACTGGAGTAGGTTGCCGTGCCCTCCTCCAGGGGATCTTCCCAACCCAGGGATTAGTCTCCTGTATTGTAGGCAGATTCTTTACCATCTGAGCCACCAGGGAAGCCCAAATATTCTTATGGGGAGTTTTAAAAATTAAAATTCAACTGTAAACCACTTCTACATCTTCTCAGTAGAGAAACTGAGAACCATGATGTATGAGAGAGAAACTCTTACAAGAGAAGTATATGCTAATCAGAAGAAAAACCAGCACAGTTTCCTACTTATCACAGTCTTCCTCAATGTTTGTATTTCAAAATAACTTCAAGCTAGGGACTGTTCTCTTTTTTTTTTATTTTTTATTTTTCCATTTATTTTTATTAGTTGGAGGCTAATTACTTTACATCATTGCAGTGGTTTTTGTCATACATTGAAATGAATTAGCCATGGATTTACATGTATTCCCCATCCCGGTCCCCCCTCCCACCTCCCTCTCCACCCGATCCCTCTGGGTCTTCCCAGTGCACCAGGCCCGAGCACTTGTCTCATGCACCCAACCTGGGCTGGTGATTTGTTTCACCCTAGATAATATACATGTTTCGATGCTGTTCTCTTGAAACATCCCACCCTCGCCTTCTCCCAGAGTCCACAAGTCTGTTCTATACATCTGAGTCTCTTTTTCTGTTTTGCATATAGGGTTATCGTTACCATCTTTCTAAATTCCATATATATGTGTTAGTATACTGTAATGGTCTTTATCTTTCTGGCTTACTTCGCTCTGTATAATGGGCTCCAGTTTCATCCATCTCATTAGAACTGATTCAAATGAATTCTTTCTAATGGCTGAGTAATATTCCATGGTGTATATGTACCACAGCTTCCTCATCCATTCGTCTGCTGATGGGCATCTAGGTTGCTTCCATGTCCTGGCTATTATAAACAGTGCTGCGATGAACACTGGGGTGCACGTGTCTCTTTCAGATCTGGTTTCCTCGGTGTGTATGCCCAGAAGTGGGATTGCTGGGTCATATGGCAGTTCTATTTCCAGCTTTTTAAGAAATCTCCACAGTGTTTTCCATAGTGGCTGTACTAATTTGCATTCCCACCAACAGTGTAAGAGGGTTAAGAGACGACACAAAACAGAACAGCTAAATGCAGTTTTAGACCTAAGATTGAATTCTGGTTCAAAAACAAAAAATCACCAAATAGAAAGGAATAATAAAAGATAATCTTGGGATGACTGGAGAAATTTGATTATGAACTGATGATCAGGTTAGATTGTGGCACTGCTATTACTGTTCTTAGGTGTAATACTGGTACCATGATTATGGAGGAGAAGGCACCTGAACTTCAGGAATGCATGAAGTGCCCTTGATGTTTACACCAGCTTTCAGGTGGCCAGGAAAACATACACCCTAAAGATGGTGATATGTCCATTCTAAATCTAGGTGTGGGGATGGACATGGGTACCCTGTACTTTCACTTTCCCATTGTCTGAACTTTTTGAAAATAAAGATCAAAATTCAAATTATAGAAAAGATATATTTGTACATTATTAATTTTACAAAATCACTTACTATTGGGTTTATTTAAATAGCAAGTACTATCAAAGTATTTTAAATAACAAGTTTTTATAGTTAAATTAAGCTTCTGAGGTGGCATTAGCAATAAAGAACCTGCCTGCTAGTGCAGGAAAGGCAAGAGATGGTTAGGAAGATGCCCCGGAGAAGGGCATGGCAACCAACTCCAGTACTGACTGGAGAATCCCATGGACAGAGGAGCCTGGCAGGCAGTAGTCCATGGAGTCACAAAGAGTTGGACATGACTGAAACGACTTAGCATGCATGCATGTTCTCATGGATAATTTGATTACAAATAACTGCATTCAGATGGGTATATCTTTCCTTTTCTCCTTTGCCTTTTGCTTTTCTTTTCTCAGCTATTTGTAAGACCTCCTTAGACAGTCGTTTTGCCCATCTGAATGCAGAGTTCCAAAGAATAGCAAGGAGAGATAAGAAAGCCTTCCTAAGTGAACAGTGCAAAGAAACAGAAGAAAACAATAGAACGGGAAAAACTAGAGATCTCTTCAAGAAAATTAGAGATACCAAGGGAACATTTCATGCAAAGATGAGCTCAATAAAGGACAGAAATGGTATGAACCTAATAAAAGCAGAAGATACTAAGAAGAGGTGGCAAGAATACACAGAAGAACTATACAAAAAAGATTTTAATGACCCAGATAACCACGATGGATGGTGTGATCACTTGCCTAGAGCCAGACATCCTGGAATGTAAAGTCAAGTGGGCCTTAGAAAGCATCACTACGAACAAAGCTAGTGGAGGTGATGGAATTCCAGTTGAGCTATTTCAAATCCTAAAAGATAAGGCTGTTAAAGTGCTCCATTCAATATGTCAGCAAATTTGGAAAACTCAGCAGTGGCCTCAGGACTGGAAAAGGTCAGTTTTCATTCCAATCCCAAAGAAAAGCAATGCCAAAGAATGCTCAAACTACCACACAATTGCACTCATCTCACACACTAGCAAAGGTAATGCTCAAAATTTTCCAAGTCAGGCTTCAACAGTATGTGAACCTTGAACTTTCAGATGTTCAAGCTGGATTTAGAAAAGGCCAACATCTGGTGGATTATAGAAAAAGTTAAGAGAATTTCAGAAAAACATCTACTTCTGCTTCATTGACTACACTAAAGCCTTTGACTGTGTGGATCACAACAAACTGGAAAATTCTTAAAGAGATGAGAATACCAGACCACCTGACCTGCCTCCTGAGAAACCTGTATGCAGGTCAAGAAGCAGCAGTTAGAACAGGACATGGAACAACAGACTAGTTTCAGATTGGGAAAGGAGTATGTCAAGGCTGTATATTGTCACCCTGCTTATTTAACTTCTGTGCAGAGTACATCATGTAAAATGCTGGGCTAGATGAAGCTAAGCTGGAATCAAGATTTCTGGAAGAAATATCAATAACCTCAGATATACAGATGATACCACCCTTACAGCAGAAAGTGAAGAAGAAATAAAGAGCCTCTTGATCAAAGAGGAGAGTGAAAAAATTGGCTTAAAACTTTTTTAAGTGTTCTTAAAACTTCAGAAAACTAAGATCATAGCATATAGTCCCACCACTTCATGGCAAATAGATGGGGAAACAATGGAACAGTGACAGACCTCATTTTCTTTGGCTCCAAAATCATTGCAGATGATGACTGCAGCTGTGAAATTAAAAGACGCTTGTTCCTTGGAAGAAAAGCTATGACCAACCTAGACAGCATATTTAAAAGCAGAGACATTACTTTGCTGACAAAGGTCCGTCTAGTCAAAGCTATGGTTTTTCCAGTAGTCATGGATGGATATGAGAGTTGGACCATAAAAAAGGCTGAGGGCTGAAGGATTGATGCTTTTGAATTATGGTGTTGGAGAAGACTCTTGACAGTCCCTTGAACTGCACGGAGGTCAAACTAGTCAATACTAAAGGAAATCTATCCCTAATATTCATTGGAAGGACTGATGCTGAAGCTCCAATACTTTGGCCACCTGATGCGAAGAGTTGACTCATTGGAAAAGACCCTGATGCTGGGAAAGACTGAGACAGGAGGAGAAGGGGACGCAGAGTATGAGATGGTTGGATGGCATCAGTGACTCAATGAACAGGAACAGGAGTTTGTGCAAGCTCTGGAAGATGGAGAATGACAGGGAAGCCTGGTGTGCTATAGTCCATGGGGTCTCAAAGAATTGGACATGACTGACTGAACAAGAACTACAAATAAGTCTAAAGGAACTCTCATATTAGCAAGTTCATTTGTATTAACATTTCTGTCTTCTCTCAGAAATTATTTTTTGCAGCTCTTCCTTTTTGATCCTCACCTTAACTTAGAATCCATTTACTTAGATGCAGCCATTGCAGTTAAGTCTACAGAAGATACCTTAACTCAAGTAAAAGTAAAATGTATCCTTGAAGAACCACAAGCAAACAAAACTAAAGAGAACCAAACAAAATTCACTGCAGATAATTCTGTGCCAAAGCCTCCCAAAGGCCACCTGGACCACCCACTTCCCCCAGGAAGCCTCACTTCACACTCAACAGCTCTGAACCACCCACTTTCAGCAAACAACAGGCTGACTGACTCTCAAAACTCAAAAGGGGCTTATCAAACCATAGCTAAAGCATCTCTACCTCCTAGTTAAGATAGTTGAAGCCCTTCTTGGTAATGTAGTCCTCTACCAGCCCTTAATAAACCACTTCTAATCAAAGACACTTTGTTCACAAAGGCAAAATTTTTTTTCAGCCTGTGATATTTTTTTTTTTTTTTTTTGGTAAAATTCTGCATCCAAAGACTATGTGTTAGAAGAGCTACTCTTAAAGAACAGCTCGTCTTCAAAACCACCTGTTAATTCTTGAGATAAATCCTCAGGTTAATAGGACACCCCAAATAAACAGAAATCACAGCAAACAGCACACTTGCCTCTCTCTCAGCTTCTTTCAGGATGGCTTCTTTCTCCTTCACACGCTGCACAAATAGCTGCTTCATCTCTTCTTCCTTCCTCTGGCGCTCACCATAGAACTCATGTCTCTTGGCTTCGTAGGTCTCCTGAAGACTGAAAAGTTATTTGTGTTACTCTCATGTTAACAAGATGACATAGAAACCTGCAAACATTCAAACTTCCAGATTAGGCCTCATGACTGTCACAGCGTGTGTGCCTCCAGGGAGCTGCGGACAGGGAGAGCCCACCTCCTTCAAGGAGCGCAGGTCTGTCTGTGGGTCCCTGCTGTGCCAGCACTCCCAGAAGTTCTCGTTTCACCCCACACAGGTTCCTTCATCCACCTCTCTGGACTCCTCCCCTCTATTTGTTACCATGTCTGATCACCAGGGTCTGGGAGTTCAGCCTGGGACCCCAACATCATCTCAGTCCAGGCTTGTTTTTATTTCTAAGACACATTGTGTTCAGCCCAACTTGATCTTTGAGCTTTTCTGCCTTCACTGTTGCAATAATCTAATTGAGCTCTAGGATTTGAGTTCATCTTTCTTTGATTTTGTTCTTCCTGCTACTCCTCAGATTTTTCCACCAAAAACAGAGATCTCTTTTATCTTTTCCTTCTGCATTAGTTATATTATCTCTAAAACGAGAGCACCTTAGAAACTGCAGAATCCTGTAAACAGACCTCTCCTCCTCAGGTTTCAGGCACACATCTCTTGCTCCAGCCACTGCCTGCTGCCCTGCCCTCACTCTACCCCAAAGGCCTATACCTCCAGGAATCTGCCTCTAGTCTCCATGGTGGAATCCCCTGTTCCCTCCATGCACTTCCATGGCTTTTTGTTTATACCTCTTCCTGGGCATTTCCACCCCACCTGCATCTCTCTTCCACCAGCTCAGCATCTTTGTAATCCAGCTGTCCAGCAGAGCTCTCTGACACTGCAGTTTCTTCATAAACGTTCATCTAATGACAGAGACTGCAGGGAAGTAGGGCGTGTAGCCCACAGAGCAGGGACTTGGTGGAACTCCATGACAAGCGCCTCTCTTTTTTTTTTTTCCATTTATTTTTATTAGTTGGAGGCTAATTACTTTACATAAGCGCCTCTCTTACCTGTGGAATTTCAGAGGAACCACAGACCTCCTCACATGCAGAAGCACTGAGCCCTTCCATCACAGCTCACTGAGAGGATGTCCCAGCATTTAACAGGGAATACAATAAATTGGCTTTCCAGGTGTGTCATGATTCAGAAATTTCTACTGCTTATAAAAATACTTTATAGCTAAATAGATTTAAAATGTGATAAAATTTAAGAATTTTACTAATCTTGTTTAACCAGAGAAATAAATCTTTTATGGATAGAACTTTATACATTTAAAGAAAATTGGTCAGTTTTCATTCCAATCCCAAAGAAAGGCAAAGCCAAAGACTGTTCAAACTACTGCACAATTAATTGCACTCATCTCACATGCTAGCAAAGTAATCCTCAAAATTCTCCAAGGCAGGCTTCAACAGTACGTGAACTGTGAACTTCCAGATGTTCAAGCTGGATTTAGAAAAGGCAGAGGAACCAGAGACCAAATTGCCAACATCTGTTGGATCATCAAAAAACCAAGAGAGTTCCAGAAAAACATACTTCTTCTTTACTGATTATGCCGAAGCCTTTGACTATGTGGATCACAGCACACTGTGGAAAATTCTTCAAGAAATGGAACTACCAGACCACCTTATCTGCCTCCTGAGAAATCTGTATGCAGGTCAAGAAGCAACAGTTAGAATTGGACATGGAACAACGGACTATTTCCAGACTGGGAAAGGAATATGTCAAGGCTGTATTGTCACCCTGCTCATTTAACTTATTTGCAGAGTACATCATGCAAAATGCCAGGCTGGATGAAGCACAAGCTGGAATCAAGATTTCCAGGAGAAATATCAATAACCTCAGATATGCAGATGACACCACCCTTATGGCAGAAAGTGAAGCAGAACTAAAGAGCCTCTTGAGGAAAGTGAAAGAGGAGAGTGAAAAAGTTGGCTTAAAACTCAACATTCAGAAAACTAAGATCATGGCATACAGTCCCATCACTTCATGACAAACAGATGGGAAAACAATGGAAACAGAAATTTATTTTGGGGGGTTCCAAAACCACTGCAGATGGTGACTGCAGCCATGAAATTAAAAGACGCTTGCTCCTTGGAAGAAAAGCTATGACCAACATAGAGAGCATATTAAAAAGCAGAGACATTACTTCGCCAACAAAGGTCTGTCTACTCAAAGCTATGATTTTTCCAGTAGTCATGTATGGATGTGAGAATTGGACCATAAAGAAAGCTGAGCACTGAAGAATGGATGCTTTTGAACTGTGGTGTTGGAGAAGACTCTTGAGAGTCCCTTGGACTGCAAGGAGATCAAACCAGTCAATCCTAAAGGAAATCAGTCCTGAATATTCACTGGAAGGACTGATGCTGAAGCTGAAACTCCAATACTTTGGCCACCTGATGAGAATCGACTCATTGGAAAACACCCTGATGCTGAGAAAGATTGAAGGCAGGAGGAGAAGGGGACTACAGAGGATGAGACGGTTGGACGGTATCACTGACTCAATGGATGTGAGTTTGAGCAAGGTCTGGGAGCTGGTGATGGACAGGGAAGTCTGGCGTGCTGCAGTCCATGGGGTCACAAAGAGTTGGACACGACTGAGCAACTGAACTGAACTGAAGGAAAATCAGAGTAAGAAATGTTACACATTAGCTCTTACAGCTGAGCATGAGTGTGTGGTACTTAACAGCATGTGTTCCAAGGAGGAACAATCCTATACATTGTCTTTAGGAGTAAAGTTTATAAATATACACAGTGTTCTAGATGATCACATTAATGCCTCTGGTCTCAAGGAGGCATCCTATTTCTTACAAGGTTTTTTTGTTTGTTTTTTTCTGTTTGTTTTCGTCTTATTTTAAAGAAGCCTCTAAATCAGTCATGCCACCTTCACTCACATTTCAGTGGTCCTACACTGGACTGATAGCTTTTAAAGACATAACTTGGTTTAAATAATGTATCTAAATCATGTCAAATCTAACTTTTAAAAGGTTCTCAGGAATTTATTTACACAAGCCCTTGAATTGTTCAGGAAGAAAGTCAAGCCACCTGACAAAGAGAAAAGACCAGACACTTAGAGAAGAGCTGCTGCCAGCAGGGACTGGTCTGGACTCTCACTAATCCCTGTGCACCTTGAAGAACAAGCACCAACACTGTCAGGGTTAGTGTGCTGATGCTCAGAGTAAGGGCATCTGCCCAGAGGGACAGAGTTTAGCAAGGACAGAGCTGGAGCTGGAACCTGGTCAGACTTGCTCCAAAGCCCACATTCTTAACCCCGATAAAGCCTGCCTAAAATGATGCCTCAGCAGAAGGTAAAGGGAAGCACTGCTCTGGTGTGCTCTCCATCTGTCACACGTGCCCACCGTGACATGGAAGCTTACAGAGCCAACTGCAAGGAAAGAACTACACTGTCTTTCAAAAGGTGGTAACGAATCCCTGAGAGGATCTGCAAGGATGGTTTATACAGTTAGTGTTGTGAAACTTATGCAACCACTGTTGACTGCCATGGATTGGAGAATGAAAAATAGCTCTCTTGCTGCTGTATTTAATGTGGCATATATGCTAGTTTCAGACATTACTGATTTAAGGCAAAGCTGAAAACCAAAGAAGAAAAAGCATCCTAGGTACTTGCATCTGTCAGGAAAACCACTGCATCCCTCTCTTGGGACCTCATCCATGAGCTCAGGGTCCAGCTCTCCCAGGACTGCTGAGTGCCCCCACTTCTGCTGCAGGCCAAACAGAACGGGAACTTCTTCTTGAGAGTTCCAAAGAAACAAAGTGTATGACACAAAAATTTTGCCAGACACTTAAGGAACTCTAAAATACCACACAAATCGACCTTCCAAACTTTAGAGCAATGATGATCAACAAGACTGTTATGTTCATCTAAAGTAGCTTAGGGATTTGAGGTTTATAAAGGCACGTTTCATGTAGTTTAAATAATTAAAGGTCAGTTAATTAAGACCTCAAGGGTACACACAATTCCATTACCCGAACCTCATGACAAACACGAGATTGGCGTGGGTAGACTGGGACATGAATCACAACTCCACACAACCAGTCAGTGAAAGGAAATGAAGATACTTCAGGGAGGAAGCTGGGCTGTAAAGAGAAGAGGTCATCCAGACAGCTCATTTTTCTAGTTGATACAGTATCGAGGGACAGATTTTACATGCCAACCAAATTATAGTGACTGCTATTGCACACACACCAAGTAAATGGGAAGATTCCCAAAAAGATGGAATAGAAGTTCTTGAAACCACACTCCTGAAACCTCCCTAAGACCTCAGACTAAAAAGAATGACAGAAGTTTTATCAAACAGTGTATCCACAAATGAGAAAGCATGAAGAGGAGAGAGACTGTGCATGCCTGGCCCAGGGAATCTCGTCTTGTCAGGACTGCAAGCCAGGGCAGGGTAGAGGCCCACCGGCTCCTGGGCAGCAGGCAGGCATCCTCCTCCTCTGAGTGAAGTCTTTATCCTTCCTGATTTTGCCATCCATCCTCTTCTAGCAGCCTGCAGCCACTGCTCTTGCCCTCTCCCTTGCTATCCACTGAAGAGCCTCCTTTCCCATTCTCTACCTGTCCAGTGGACAGATGCTCCTCAAACTGAAGAAATACTAAAAGAATGGCTGTTCACCTTGCCTGCGCACCACATGTTTCCTGTCGTATTGCTATTCTACTTCTCCCCACAGGAGGCATCTTGCTGGGACAGCCAGTCAGGCTCACACCCACCCTGCCAAGACATGCGCACACGTCCTAAGTTGGGCCCATTAGGCATCCCACTTTCCTGGAAGAAAGACTGGAAATGGTCTGTTCATTCTTCCATTCCAGCAGTAGAATAAAACTGCTAGTTTTCTCCCTTTGAACCTGCAAGCCCTGACCAGCACCGTACTCGTGACTGACATGGCCTGCTCTTCCAAGAATGGCAAAGGAAGAGACCGGACTATATTACACTGTTGTACAGCCACAGCACAACCTGGTCCCCCTCAACACGGCCCACCTCTCCCTTCCTGAGTCCAATTAACTTCACCTTCCAGTTCCACTGGAAGGGGTAAATACGCATCTGACCACCCTCCTCCCCACACCACTACCAAGCCCCTGTGTTTGTGCCTGGATGCCCATAGCAGCCTCCCGCCTGGGTGTCCTCATGCCCAGCTTCTGCTCTTTATAACAGGGCAGGAGCATCCTCCTCCCGCCCCACCCTGGGGCCCTCTATCCCATGGTAGAGGGCCCTCTATCCCATGGTGCACATCTACCCACTGACCAGCAGGACATACCTGGACTGGATGGGGATTTTAACTTAAATGTGATTCTTAGGCTTCATACCCAGAAATTCCGAGCCTGCATTTCTACATCACCCACAGGTAACTGATGACTAATCTATCCCTCTTCTCCTTCATGCACATGGAGGCCCCTGTGTAACCTCAGACTTGGAAGAATGAGAAATGAAGCCTCCTCTGGGAAACACTAGGGATGCCAGTGCTGGACAATTTCTCTTCAGCAGAGAAAATCACTTTACTAGAACCAGTCTGTTACAGCACACCCAAAATTGGTGAGGAGGGTGAGGTATATAGAATTCTTAGTTTATTATGCTGCCAGAGCTAAAACACTCATTAATCTGTAGAATGGAAAAGTTTAGCCTCACCTGATATTAAACCTTCCCGAAGGTCACGTGCAGTGGAGTGGCAGCTGGCTCCAGGGCTCCCCCCTCCCATGGTGTTTGCTCTGGTGCAGACAGGACACCAGGGAGGGGCTGCAAAGTCAGTAATGAAATGCCAAGGAACTCTTGGTCCCATAGCAGATTTAAAACAGTGCTGGTCCTGAGCAGAATTGTTCAGGAATGTGACATAAAAATAAACCTGATTTAGCACGTTTGCATAATTTAATTTAAAAAAAAGACCTCAGGAGTGGAGCAGCATATAAAATAACAAAAGAAGTTCCAACAACACTTCATGCTCTAACCATTGAGCCAGTTACAGTTCCTGTAACTTATGGTAATATCTTTAGCCTAACTTCTGACTCCTCACAAAAATGTTCATGCTTCCTTTATAAGAAATTTTCCTACATTTAGTTATTCCAGAACTTCCAGCAGGATGAAAGACTACAGCTTCCTAGTTTATTTAATGATTCATATTCCAACTTTTAAAATAATAATATACTTTCATTTTTTTCATATAAATACAAAATTAAAATCAAATAATGAGAGCTTTTTCCTTTGGTTACTCATTTCAGCAGGTACTGAAATCCTGAGATTTCTACCCTGTGTTCTTCCTTCTACTTAATTCCCTGAGTCGGATGAGGACTTGGAGACCTCCAAGAGCAAGAAGCCTTCCAGTGATTCAAGCAGCATAGAAAGCGTGATAATAAATCATTATCAAGTGGTCTTTCACGGTGTGGGAGATTCTCCCATCATCCTGGACAGATAAAGAGGTACCATCCTCCCCGCCACCCCCTCCTCCCGTGGCTGGCTGCTCACCTAAGTGGCTGGTTCTCTGGGCCCACGTCCATGAAGCCCATCTCCTCCAGCTTGCGGCGCCGGTACAGCTCATAATGCCTTGTGTGGGTCTGGTCTCGAAGATCCTCCATGTTTGTACAAATGAGCATCTCCCGGAGCTTGACAAAGTCGCAGTGGTTTTCATTCTCCACTAGCCAGAGAAACAGAAAATACCAAGAGTGACTTTCAATCCTGACACACAATTGGTATTTGTTGAATGGATGAGTAAATACAAACATATTTGAAATAAGCAACAGCGAAATGATCAATCTGACTAAGAGCTATGGCTGTTTCACCCAAGTAGCCAAGGAAGCACTTCTTGAATCACACACACCAATTTACAGGTAGTGCTCATTAACAGACCAGAGCACTGGCTTAAATTTGGTAGCCAAGGGAAACAGGAAAGAAATATATTCTATCTGGTACCATATGCTCCACTAATTTCACTAATATTTTGTTACCAGTTTATAAACCATCCTTAGGACATTTCACATACCACTTGAGAAGAGTATGTAACATTTTTTCACTAAAACTTCAAGGTGGTAAATTCTGCACACTCAACACCATCTGTGCCTGCTGTGGTTATCAAATCCTTGTCCAACATGATGCCACATTTGTGGTCCTGAGTCAGGTACCTAATTGTGATCAATAGTTGTAAATACAATTACCTTTATATTTTCTAAACATTAAAAATGTTGTTTTGTCAATATTTTCCACTAATTAAAAAATTTGTAAATTAAAAAAACAGCACTGAAAAACCAGTATCAGCAGGGGTAATCTATTCCCCATTAGTTAGTACCATGAGTGAATGAACCAGACAGTTAATTTTATACTCATTGTAATGTTAGATACATGCTAAAAATCTTCATTTGGCTGACTGGGAAATAGTTGGCCATATTTTGATAAGTAAAAATATATAAATTTATAAGGAGGTTTATTGTGTTCCAGAATTATCTAGTAATTAATTTATGTACTATGTTTAAACAATACTATTTACACTCAAATTCTGTTCAAAGTACCCAACTAGTGGTTCCCACCTTCTGAGTGTCTTAGCACACCTTGACAGGTAACTAACTGGTTTAACGCAGGAAGTGGGGAGGCTCTATTTGGCTTTGCAGACGTGGCTAAAACAGAACACAGCCAGCCCTTCTGACAGCTAATCAGAACCCAAAATAAGCATTGCCTCAGAGGATGCACTAAATGCAGCTTTTAGACTGTCAGGCAAGCACACATGTCCTCATAGATCTCCTTTACCTTGTACGATGCCCCAGGGATACTGGCGAGCTTTGACCATCTTATTTCCAACTTTCACTTCATCCATACTTCCCACCACAGCAAATGGCAGGTGTCCCTGGAAAGGAGCCAGCATATCAATCACATCTCATACCAATGACAACAGAGAAAAGGACATTTACTAAATGACAAGTGTGTTAAAGTCAAATGGTCTGCTGTGCCTTAGCTTTTAAAACCTTCCCTGTGAATACATGCCACGTGTTCTATGGTTATCCTCAGGCCCTAAAGGGAAAAATAGTTACTGAGAATGCCCCACATGCATTCCAACTTTGCTATAAGGATACAAAAAAAAGAATTCGAGCACAGGTATCATTTACCTCATGGTCTTGGATATAAAACACAATGTTGAAGAAATCACATACACACCATATAACTAAAGTATATAACTATATTTAGGGTATACCTACATATATAACACCAATAGCAAGTATTTAAGTCCCAAACTTTGCTAACTACAAATGTTACAGAAATTTAAAGGAGTGAGAGATCTCTGTGACAGGAAGACACAACCAAGCTGGAGACAGAGCAAGCAGAATAGGAAGAAATAGCAAAGCAAGAAGACGATTGTGAAAAAAGACACAGTGGCTGGATTTAATGGCAGTGAGGAGATTGTCCTGTCGGGCACTGAGAATTAATTTAGGGAAAAATCTAATGTAAACAGTATATGTTTAATATTTAATGATTGACAATGTGTATTCTCTTAATTATTACCCTCTGAAAACTTATTCCAGGTGGGCACACACACAAAAAATCAGATATAAAGAGTTTAACACACAGGGATTAATATCACTTCCTTTACATAAGTCAGCTTTTTATATATTTAGTTTAAGTATCTTAATATGGACAAAGTGTAAAAAAATCAGAAAAGGAAAAGAGGAGAAATGGAATGAACAGGTACTGAATGTCACTGCCAAGCAGTGAACAAAGCTGTCGCCTCACCACAGTGAGCCCTGTTTTATAGGTAAGTTAACAGTCTCAGGAAAATGGGAAGCCCCATTTTATAGGTAAGTTAACAGTCTCAGTGAGGTTAGGAAGTTCCAAAAGAACTCTAAAACCTTTGATCCATCAAAATCTAACCAAGTATTTAAGAAATTGGTAGCCTGAAGTAACACAGAGGACTTAGCCATCTTTTAATCATGCTGTTATGTATAATTAAAATATATACTAAATATATTCTATATTAAAACACAAAAGTTATGTGAGTATTTCACATGTACTTGTGACACTGTAAGGGAGGAGCTTAAATACCAGATTAGAAAGCTCCCTGTAAAGTCTCTCAAGAGGGAGGCTGTGCCATCTTCTGTCCTTAAAGACAGGACAGAAAGGACTCTTACTAAGGAAATAAAAAATGGTCCCACAGAAGGAGAATCCCATTCTCACAAATGTATCACGTCATTTAGGTCAAAGTAGGGAGGGAAGAAAAATGCTCACATATGTAGTAGCAATGTTACTCTTTTCGTATATAAAACAGAATGATTCAGTTAAGAGCTTACATTCATTGAAGCATTGATCTTAGCAATAGTTTCATCATCTGTTGGGAAATGGTATATCTGAACACCATTGCTGACCAGTTCACTCATGAGCTTGATCTTAAACTTCTGTAATTCAGTTTTAGAAATTGCATCTGCTTTGGCAATCACTGGTATAATGTTCACCTATTAAGAATAAAGAAAAACAAAAATCTCATGATCGAAGATATATTTTTTAATAACAAAGTTTCTGAATTCAGAACCACTCTGACAGATTTCCTTAGGACAGGCAAACTATGGTCCACTCATTGCCTGTTTACATAGGTAAAGAGTTCCTGAAACACGGCCAAGCCCACTCATTATACATCATGTATTTCCTGTCATCATTATCATTCTGTAACAGCAGAAATAGGCCTGGCCCTTCAAGGGAAAAGCTTGAAGGCTCCTGATGTAGAAATCACTGCTTCATTCTTACAGACAGCCCTACACAGCCATTCCTGCACATGCTGGGCTGGTAATAACTGCTTTTCAGAAGCAGAGCTCTTACAAAGTTCATTTTTCATCTGAAGTCAGGTTCAGAAATCTCACATTTCCCCTCTGTCTCTTACAATTCCATCATACACAAAATAAGTAGAATGTAAGAGATGAGCTGAAATCACCTGCATAATTCACAAAGAATTTTTATCTGTTAATAATCTCAGCACTAAGTAATCTGGTGACTGATTTCAGCAGACCTATGGGTCAGGCCACAGGCCTCCTCTGCCTCTCACTGAAGCAAGCCCCTTTTCAACAGTGAATGCATCTGATCTGACCCCACTGTCAGAATCTTACCCATAGGTTGACAGAGGGAAATTTTATGGATACCAACTAAAAACATTCACAACTCAAAGGAATTAGTTTTTCAGCATTATTTAAAAGTCCTGTCACTGGCCAGAGTGGAAGAGATGTGGGGACATGAAGACTAACCTGCAAGGCTAGTTCTGTGAGATTTTTTTTAAAATACTTATTTATTTATATTTATTTATTTGGCTGTGCCGGGTCCGAGTTGTGGCTTGTGAGATCTTCAGTCTTCATTGCGGCATGCAGGATCTAGTTCCCTGACTAGGGATTGAACCTGGGCCCCCTGCATTAGGAGCACAGAGTCTTAGCCACTGGACCACCAGGGAAGTCCCAGTTCTGTAAGATTAATGTATCCACAAAGGAGTGATATCACCACAGATTAAAGGGTTTGTATGTTTTTTGTTATTTATTAGCTTGTTTTTAGTGAAAAACTTCAGGCTGAGTAGTCACATGTGTCAAAAGAGTGAACTTTCAGTATAATTTTCAGTGGAAATGAAAACTAAAATAATTCTTTTTCTATTCTTAAACCTCTTTGTCTTCTCCAGCTTCACAGTGACTTACTGTGTGTACATTTGAATTTATTAGTCTTAAATTTGTTCCAAAGGGGATAAAGATTTTTCAACTAACCATGAAATAAACTTTCCAGCAATTTTGGGTAAACACCTTTCAAGATAAGTTAGTCAAAGTATATAAAAATTTGATGCCAAGTTCTTGATTCTCAGTATCATATATACTTAGATATTCAGTAAACTGTGCCAAGTTATACTTCTAATTAATTCCAGGATCAGTAGCAGAAGCACCCCAGTGTATGTAGCTGACATTAAGCTTTCTCATTGTAGTGTGAAAACCTGACTGACATTTGACTGCTGAGGCATCTGTTTCAGAGGTCCATTAGAACAAACAGCCAGCACCTGAGGACACAGCTACTGGCTGCCATCAGGTAAGGAATAGGCCACCCTCCTGGAGGACTCCTTTCAGAAAGTCTAGGTGACCCACCTCTCCCTTCAGGCCCCAGGTCCCACGGAGGTGCTTTAAAGTCACCCACAAAGAGGGAACTGGAGTGGCCCAAGATGCCCCACCCTCAGACCCTGATAGAGGCTGATCGCTCTCTCCCTTTCCCCTCCCTTCCCCTTCCCCCTGCACCTGCTGCGCTATGTACACTCAGATCCTGCAGGAACAACCCTTGATCCTCAGAATCCCCCAGTGCTTGTTGCTGAGGTGCCGCCTGGGATTCTAAGAACCATGAGGGCCGGCCCAGTGTCCCTGGAGGTGGGAGAACGTGTGAGGGCCCACTGTGAGTAAATGCAGGTGTGGAGCACTTCACATTCCCAGCCAAGCTCATCACCATCAGTGGGCTGAAGGATACAACACAGACTGAAAACAGATGTCCCCGCGGATGGGGACATATCACCACCAGCACAGGTAATTCCCCGTGTAGAGCAGTGGAGTCATCTTTTAAGAACAAGATGCACTATCGACTTAATCACCCTCACACCTCTTTCAGAAGTAGATGCTCTCCTAGTTTTGATTTTAAAAGTGAAGAAACTGAAGCTCAGAGTGGTGGAAGCTTTCCAAGAACACGGGGTGATCAAGTAGCAGAGCAGCCCTGAAAGCACTCCCACAACTCCACACAGACCTCAGCCTGGAGCTCTGTCTGCCTGAGATGAAGCTGCCCACTCCTGTGTTCATGTCCCTTTAGTAAGGGTGGATTTCTACACGTCAGACTCAATTGTGAAGATAACTGGCTGAATGGTTACAATATCCCATCAGGTGAACAGACTCTCACCCAAGCTCCTCCAGGTTTGTCTCAGCCAGGGGACCACAGTGCTGGTCTCTGCACTGAGATGCCCGCCGCCTGCCTCCCACACTGACTCCTGTACAGAAGGCAGCCCTGGTAGACCCCATGCTCTCCCAGTGCCAGCTCACAGACTGTGCTCAGCCAGGTCGCAGGGGAACCTTGGAGACCTTTTTAGTGTGAGAGTGTAGTCTTTATCCTTTAAACAAAAAAACCTGAAGTGAGTTAATTTCTGGATACTACTACTTACAGCTCCCTGAATTTATATATAGCTCATTGGCTCAGAAATTAAAAATAGGTTTTCTGGATACAGTTCAAATTAAAATTAATTTACTGTATGAGACTTTAGATCTTAATCTTCATCAGTGAGCTTCTTATCATTTAATAGTGTCATAAAGTAAAATTAGTGTCAAATAAATTCTATAGTTAAATGAAAACGAATACACATATTCTGACATGCAATTTAATCACTAAAAAAGGACTGAAATTTTATGCTAACACTTTTTCTTTGTATCTCATCTTCCAAACTGAATTTCTCTGGGAAATATCCTAAAATTTAAACTTGCTAAATGTTTAAAAATACACAGAATGAGACAGTTATGACATATGCACATATCATAAATATATTTATATATTGAATAGTTCATTCTAAATCCTGAAATGCAACCATTGGTTCTTCTCCAGACCCACCTTGCTGTCCAGGCTTTTCATGGTCAAGAGATCCAGCGTCTTCAGGGAGTGGCCTGTCGGGGAGATGAAGTAGAGGCACACGTGGACTCGGGAGTCATGGTAATTAAAGAGAGAGCGCTTGATCTTCAGCTCTTCTTGAAGGTAAGCTTCAAATTGAGCATCTATGTAGTCAACTATTGGTTGGTAGCTGAAAAAATATTTAAATATTTAATACAATATATTCATAGTATCTTGATAAAGTATTTGCATAAATTTAAAGTTTGAACTCTGTTTTCTCACTAGTGAACAAACAGTTGACTTCTATGCTAAACAGATAACTTCAGTAATAAAACAAATGTGCAAATGTGCAGGTACAGAGGCAGTACTTCGAAACTATCCGAACAACCTGTGCTTTAAATGATCTTACAGAAATGACCCTGAATGCGCCTCTCACACTCCTTCACACCTGGAGCTCTCTGGCATGGCTCCCCAAACCTGCCAGGCTGCTGAAGGAGGATAGGCATCTAATTGCAACCATGCTGGACATGGCATATTACCCTACACGAGTATCAGCAACCTAAAAGTTATTTAGGTCAAACTCCATGACTTCTTGTTCTGAAATTAAGTTTGTGTGGCGTGGAAGCATGAACGTGGTAAGGAAAGGGCACAACCACATGGAAGCATCCTAACCGGTGACTCAGGCACAGCTCCATTCTCGTTTATTTACCAGCAGAGGGAGGTCCGTCGCAGCCGACAGGCTTAGTCCTTGCCTGGATCCATCCTCCTGCCTCAAACGCCTGACCCCAACAGAAAGCACTGCCCTGGGGCTGCAGAGCAGCCCCTTGCCCTCTGGAAAGAACTGACCTGTGGGCATGTGAGGAGAGGACCCAAGACTACAGACATTTCCTATAACCATCTTGGTGGTAGATAGAAAACTACATTTGTCAAAATTAAGTTGTACACTTAAACCAATGCATCTTATTTATTGTGTGTAAATTTTACACATCAATAAAACTTATTTATAAACAAATTAGAATGGAAGAACAAATGCCATTATTTACAGACTATACTATTGCATACATAGAAAACCTAAACAAATTTATTAGAGATGCATTAACTAGAATTAACCAGAGAACACACAGAAGTTTCTGTGTACAAGATCAATTATATTTCCACACATTAAATGGAAAATGCAATATTTGTAAATGATATCATTTATGGGATCATCAAAAATACCAAATATCTAAGGATAAATTTAAGTAAAGCTTTACATAGTTCCTATATAGAAAACTAAAAAAAAGCCATGTGTCATGGGCCTTTGCCTCCTCCACTAATCTACTTCTTCCAGAAAGCCCACAAAAATTATTTCTTGAAATCTATAGCAGAACACACAAATGTGCTGAACAGGTTAAAACATAATGAGAGTCAGTTTTATAACATATTTTCCCTCTAAAGCAAACTTTTAGGACCTAGAAAACTACCTCTAAAATAATGAAAATATATGAATTTCAAAAAGGAAAAAGAACGGTCATTGCCCCAGTCTGTTTCCTCCTTTTATGGCTTAATTTTCATATTTAAGCCAAAATCATCTTTGTAATACCATAGGAGAAATAATGACAAAAAATAGTAACCTAATCAAAATATAAATTAAAATTGAATCATCACACCTTTCCTGCAATGCTTAATCTGGCTAATTTAGTTAGAACTTCACAAAAAAATTCATGTACCATGGATTTGGTGATTATGTATTTGCCATGTATGCCTTGTTTTTTTTCCTCAACAAAACAAGTCTTGCCTGAAAATTAGTAAAAAATCACTTAATATACACCGAACTGTCATGTCAGGAAAAAATTAAAACTATTTTTGCTGCCATGCACACTTTAAAAATGTGATTCAAATTACTCTAAAGAAAATAGACAACTGGACAGAAAAATGTCAATTTGTTAACAAAAACAAAATATTGCTTTATTATTTAAAGAATTTAAGTCTGGGAAGAAAGGCATGGGTTTCTACAGATTAAAATCAAATCAGCACACAGGGCAAGAAGGCAGATGTCCTGTAATAAGAAAAAACCTGTTTTATTACTAGAGGAAAGCACGTACCTCTCTTCTTTGTTTATTTGGTCACCAAATCCCACTGTATTCACAATGGTTAGTTTCAATCGAACGTTACTTTCCTGGAGTTCATATGTCTGTGCTTTAAGTCTAACATGTGGGTAAAAATGTGAGGATTCATGGTCCTCAAAATTAGTATTAAACAATGTGTCAATCAGCGTTGATTTTCCAATTCCAGTCTCCCCTGAAAGAAATGCAGGTACATATTCATATTCACAGGTGCACAGGATGGATGAAGAACAGAACAGTAAACTCTTACAGTGATTTGGTTTCACGAATCCCAAATATTTCAAATATTGCAAAGGCTGGATTGTCCCTGAAAGAAGTACATGCTAAGGTGGTTCATTCTAAGCTGAGCATAAAAATGAGTCCTGTATGCTGAGTTACTCAGAACTCTAAAGAAGGCACTGAAATGTTTAAAGAACAAAGGGAAAGCTTAAAGCAGCACGGCTAAGAAAAAACTGATAAAATTTAAATAACTGAAAAAAATCTGTACTCGTGCTCTCAGGTTTCTCAGATGGGCACTATACTGCCCATCCCAAGAAGGAGGTGAGCACAAGAGCAGGACGAAAAAGTCTGGACAGGCTGGGCACTTACCCACACAGAGAATATTAAAGCAGAAGCCTTGCTGGATCGACCTGTTGACCAGTTGATCAGGCAGACTCTCAAAACCAACATGGCCAGACATGGTTAAAGAACGAGGACTTTCTTTTTGCTGCAAGAAAACAAAAACAATGTCAACAGTTTTTTAAAGTTTTACTGAGACAGAACATAGGCACATTGGAAAGCACAGACATAATTTATCAAAAAAACTAAAGACTTTTTCGATCATTATACCTCCCCCAGGATACAACTGGTTTGTGAGAAACCTGTGTCCAGACCCTCAAAACATGTATTTCTTATTATCGTCCTACGATGACAGCCTGACACCATTTATAACATTAAAATATTTGATTTCCCCACAGAGGAAAATACTCACACTATGGCATAATCACATTTCACAAAATGGAGTGTGGTGTGTAATAGTCATGAAAGATGTTTATGATGACTTTTAGATATAAATTGTCACATTACAATGTCAAAGAAAGAGGTACAGCACAAAGTTACAGATGGAGTTCCAGCTCACAGTCGTGGCAGAGTAACTTACGTCACACTCACCTCCTTGCTGGTAAGTTACAGTCAGTTCCCTCAAGTCACTGCAACCAAAGGCAGAGCGACTGTGGAGTGAGGGACACACCTTGTAGCTTCTCCCCTGAAGGCAGACCCAGCCACTGCTGTACAAGCAGACAGCTCAGGAGGCAACTAGTCTTACTGGGTTCAGAAGCCAGTGGAGACAAGGGCAGGCAGGTCAGCTGAAAGGGGAAATTACAGAAAGGAGGGAGTCCACAGTCGGCACACACACCCCTCAAGTCTTTGGCTGAGTGCTGACCTACATATGAACAGAGAAATGGGAATTGGAATGGCCAGCCTAGGGAGCTTAGACTTTAAGTCTATACGTTAAAGGACTCAGTAAACACATGAAAACCTACATGGGCCTCATTTTAGGAGTAAGGATCACATCCCAGCACTCAGAAAACCTCCCTCATGCTGAAGGCACAACTGAAGTAGACCTGCTGCAACAGAGATGAGTGTGACCAGCCAGTGACTCACTAGAGCCTGCTGGACCAGAGGCCAGCACTCCTCAGAAGAAGACAGAGTCCAGCACCTCTACAGTGTGTATCCACAACACCTAACTGTGCAATCAAAGTACTACACAGAAAGAAGCAAAACACATTCACAGTCAAGGAAGAAGAAAACAGTCAACAGAACAAGATCCACATAGAAGCCACATGTTGAACTAGCTGGTAAAAACTTTAACTCTGATAAATATGTTAAAAAGAAAAATGTTATCTTTCTCTACAGAAGAGATACATATGACAGGTGACGTGACAGGGAATTATAAGAGAAAGAAGAAAGCTCTCAACAACAACAAAAGGTGACAAATGAAATTCCTGGAATGGAAAAATGCAACATCAGAAATAAAATAGTATTAACAGCAGATCAAACAACGGAAGAAAGGCTTGTTCAATATCATATCCATGCTAAATATCTCTGTCCAAGCTAAAAATCTCTCATTGAAAAGATAAAACTATAACAGAGTCTAAAAATACTGGCACAATATCAAATGGTCTAACACACCTACAGTGGGAATGCTGGATAGATAAGAGATGGGAGCAGGGGATAGAGGATGGAAATTTATAAGTAATAGTGACTGATAATATTCTAATTGTTTCAGCATGAACTCAGAGATCCAAGAACTTCAGCAAACTGCAAACAAACAAAAGCAAAGGAATCCACAGCCAGGCACATCAGAGCAAACCATTTAAAAGTAAGAACAGAGAAAGATCTACAAGCAGCCAGGGGTGGCAAGACATATTACAGACAAGTAAAACATAAAATGATCACAGTATTGGCATAAAAAACAGTGTAAACCAAAAGACAACAGAACAACATCAGTAAAATGCCAAAAGTAAGAAAATGACAACTCAGGATTCTTTATTTTTCCAAAATTTGTTTATTTCTTTATGGCTACACTAGGTCTTTGTTGCTGGGTTCTCTCTGGTTGTGGTGAGCAGGGCTACTCTCTAGTCATGGTGCAAGGGCTTCTCATTGCAATGGTTTCTCATTGCAGTAGCATGGCGTACAGGCTTAGTTCTCGGACCAAAGGATCAAAGTCCTGTCCCCTGAACTGGCAGGCAAATTCTTAACCACTGGGCCACCAGGAAAGTCCCTGACAACCCAGAATTCTGTATCCAATGAAAATATCCCTCACAAGTGAGGGCAAAATGAAAACATCTTCACACAAAATCTAAGAATTTTACTGTAAGGAGGCCTTACCTGATAAGAAATATTAAAAATTCTCAAGAGAAAGGAAAATGACAACAGATGGAAACTCATCTACAAAAAGGATGAAGATTGTCAGAAAGATAAAATTATGGGTAAATACAAGAGAATTTTTTGCATGTTTTAATTTCTTGAAAATACAGATTGACTGTTTAAAGCACTAACAATAGTGTGATGCAGGACTTATGATACGTGGAGAAGCGGGATACGTGACCACAACAGCACAGAAGATAGGAGGGGAGGAGTCACCCTGCTGTAAGACTTATACACTGTCCATGAGTTGCCATCACACTGCTCAAAGGCACTGAGGGGTAAGTGAAAGCCCACATCAATTGCTGTTTAAAAAAAAAGAAGTTTAGCTAGTAAGCCAAGAATGGAGATAAAATGCAACCATAAAAATACTCCATTAATTCAAAAGGAGGCAGGAAAATAAAAAAATGAAAGAATAAATGGGACAAATAGGAAATAAATGGCCAGCTGGCAGAATGAAAGCAGCCGTGTTTGTAGTTACAGGGAAGTGGTTCCAGCCAGCTGTCCAGTAGACCCTTCCGTGACAATGCCAAGCTGCCAGAGGATCCACTAGCCACATGCAGACATGGCACACCTGGCTGTGACACATGCAACTGAGGAAGGAACTTTCAAATTTTATTTAATTTTAACTAATCTAAATATCCAGGTGTGGCTAGTGGCCACCATACTGGCTAGTGGCCACCATACTGGACAGTGCAGGTCTAAGCTTTTCAAATAAAAGGAAATTGTCAGACTGGATGAAAGAGCAAGACCCAACTCTGTACTGTCAATGCAATAACTGACAAGCTCATTGTAAAATTTACATGGGAAGCCAGAGGACTTAGCATCGCCAAAATCACTGCGCAGAACAAGCTGAAGGATGCACACTACCTAGTCTAAGGCCGCAGTCACCAAGTAGCGTGATGTTGTGACTGTCTACTACTTACCTACAATTTAACAAAGAGGAGGGGCTGGAGAACATGAGGACTAAACAGTGAGCACTCAGTGCACCAGTCACCGAGCAATTACAGTAGATACAGTAAAGCAACGTGTCAGAAGGCAGGTTAGGAGTAATTCAGAAAGTCTATGAGGTGGTAAAATAAAGATGGATAGGCTACTTTTACCAGTAAGACAGCAAGAATGAACAAATCACCATTTATCAAAACTATGGGGACTTCAGTATGTGTGGAGGAAGAGAAGAGACTACAGAGCACAGAACTGCAGGAAACCAATCGTGATCACCTGTGCTCACGTTTGCAGTTTTCTTTTTTAAAAAACAACTCACCTTGTTCACCAGATTAAATTTACCTCCTCTCTTTTTAAATAACTTTTTACTAAAAAACTACCAAAACCCATCCTCCTGCACAAGTACATTCAGAATCCCCTTGGAACCATGAAAGTCTGACGCTGTGCTCAGGAAGGCCCCTTCCTACAGGGCCATCCCATGGCACCATGCCTTGTCATCACCAAAGTCAGTGAGGATGCCTGCCAGAGCAGGGCCAGCTCCCCCGACCGCTGTGGCAGAGGTGGAACCTGAATCTGCTTGACATCAGGCAGGGTAGAGACACTGTGGCCACTCAACAGTGATTCAGTTCATTACTGATTTTGAACTTGGATCAACGTTCACAATTAATTCATATTCAAGGTGAGTACCAGCAACAGTCTGTCTAACTACATCCTGAAACCACAGAGGCATCCACAATACAAGGTGAGTCTACTTAAGAGACATACTCACTTTCTGTTCATGGTCAGATACTTGTGAGGACGTATGAGCTGTTTTTGTTGTAATGTGAGACTGAAAGAGCTGAAAAAGAAAACACAGATGTTACTAAAAAAAAAAAATACCTATATCTAAGTAATATATTAATAGTTATATTAAAAAGTAATTCTAGTATTGTCATTATCACCAGGCTTTGACTTGTGATCTACACAAGGTTTTCTTGCTGGAAGGATATCTGCAGAGGTCAGTACCATGTGATAGTCAACACATGATACACATTATTGCACTTACACCTTCACACACAAAAATGTAAAAGTTATCATCACAGAACCCCTGCTATAGCCATCCCCAGGCTAATGGGGCCCAAGCAGTGTGGGGTTCTCAGAGGAACGCTGCCTCAAGAGCACTCCATCCTGGCATGTAGCACAGGACATGGAGAAAACATGTCCTTTTTAAAAAGTAACAGTACCATGGATGTAGTAAGAAAAAGCGCAAACAGTGCCGGTTGAGAAGAGAGAGCAGACTAAGTTGCCTCCTCCCCTGACCCCTGCAAGCTGGTAGTTCTCTCCCCTGGGGGTAGAGGCAGCCTGGAGTTCGAATGCACAGTGTCTGTGGCTCATGACTGGTAATCTGCAGTGGTTGTCCTTCCCACCTAATCTGTGGTGGGGACCGCGTCAGCAGAGCGTGAGCTACCCCTCTCCCTTCCTCCCTCTCTCCCAGGACAGTGCCTCTTCTGTAAACTGCACAACATGCAGATGCACCATCTTTAACTGCAACAGCTGCACTGCAGTGAACAGCAGCTTGCCTAGACGTGGGACTAAGGGGAACCTGATGCTGCGGCAAGGGAGGGCTATGTGTGGCACCTTGAACCCCAACACATGGGGCAGCCAGGACTGCATTCTACAGAATGCTAATGACCCCTTCCCATGGTACTTTCTGGGTAACGTGAGCTCTTGAAGGTGCGCCCTGGGACCTCACCAGGCACCTTGAGCAGCCAGCTGAGCGCACTGTGTCAGGAGTGGCTCTGTTCAGTGGGAATGCGCTGTGTATTAAGAGACAGCCAGGTCCCAGGGTGAACACAGGAACTGGTATATGTATAAGAGAATAGCACCTTGATACAAAGCCCACCAGAACTGGACTAGTGTGGCTTTAACTGTACACACACTGCCCTGACTTCCCCCACCCCTGCCACCATGTGTCACGTGAGCTGGAGCGCACACCCCCCAGTCTGCGCCAGCACAGAGGAGCCAGAGCACTGGAAAGACAGCGTGGTCATGGCCACACACACAAGAAGGAAGACGACACTGCGCTGGCCCAGGAGACGCCAGACTCAGGCAAGGAGGCGTTTAAGATAGAAAACATCTCTGAGCCCTGAGAGTGAGGTGGAGTATCTTATCTGGATAAAGTGAACCATCAGTAGAAGAGTTTGCTGGAAACAAAGGGCTCATCATCTCTTGTTGTGAAGTTACAAAGAAGCCAGAAGTGGAGCAGGGAGCTGCAGGATGAGGCCTGGAGTGTCCACCTGGGGTGGAACCTGCTGTCAGGACACCAGGCACCGTGGAGGGAAACCAAGCACAGCAGAGCCTCTGTGTCTGCCAGCAGCAGATGGGAGTGGGTGCTGCATGTCTACGGAGAAGGCATTGGCACCCCACTCCAGTACTCTTTGCCTGGACAGTCCCATGGTCGGAGGAGCCTAGCAGGCTCCATAGGGTCGCTAAGAGTCGGACACGACCGAGCGTCTTTACTTTCAGGTTTCACTTTCATGCACTGGAGAAGGAATGGCAACCCACTCCAGTGTTCTTGCCTGGAGAATCCCAGGGATGGGGGAGCCTGGTGGGCTGCCATCTATGGGGTCGCACAGAGTCGGACATGACCGAAGCGACTTAGCAGCAGCAGTAGCAGCTGCATGTCTAACTTAATTTTATCAACTACAGGACTCTAATGAAGATTAGTCTTTAAAAAACTACAATAAGTAGTCTTGGGTTTTTAGTATAATGGATAGCATACTGAAATTTTTGTGAAATGCTGCTTAGGAAGTAGTATCATTGATATATAAAATTTGCTTAGAAAAAATAAGGTTTTGTACTTCTTTATTAAACTTTAAACTTTTACTAATAAAACCAAGGTTACATTTATGTCATTTATATGAGTTCATATCAAGTATTCACTTTTGTTCATGCATTTCCTGTGTTTCTGAACACCTGCCAGAAAGCCTACTTAAAATCTCTGTGGATAAATGGTTTGATGAGGAAGTACAAATGAGTCACATAAAACTATTATAAATAGTTGTTCTTAATATTTCCACTGGTACTACCTGGCTAGTCAGATTTCCAAAACAGATTTTAGAATGAAAACAGTTTTTAATAAATTAACAAAGACATTACTGAAGGTAAAGTAACAAGGGTACAAGAATTGACCCAGTGCACCTCTAGTGGTAAATCCTAAATTAAAAACCTGGAAGTGGAATTCCAATCTGCTCCACCACTGACTACCTTCTTACTATGTAAAAGCCCTGTGCTGGGAACAGGGTATCAGGAGGAAGACACGGCCCTTGATCTTAAGAACTAATCTTGGAGAAACACAGGCAAATGATTGACAGCTCTCATTTCAAGGTACAAGGGAGACTAACAGTCCCTATCTACATCTGATGACAGTTGGTAGCTTTTGTGTTAAATACATGCATCATAGATACACAAATACACATGTATTTAAATCTATACATCCTAGAAAGGAAGAATGCATACAGTACTTTTAACTTGGCCAAGTCTAACACATTTTTTAGAAGTTTTAGTATATAACGAAACACACACACACACACAAAATGCCAGAACATTTGGGGGAAGATCAGGTTCTCCACCTTCTTCAAAGTATCAGCTTGGGGAGTGTGGGCAACACAACAGACGTGGCACGCAATCTGTTCTGGGGCCCCCTGAACATAGGTGGTAGGGACCTTCTTCCTATCGGTCAGTAAGCATTTGGTGATTCTTTCACAACAGGACCCAAGCTCTTCTGACCCTCCAGCAAACAGTCCTGTGACCACCTGATAGCCTCTCTCTAAGCCTAACAATGAGCTTTGGATGAACAGAATTATGACTTGGGTTACAATTGCTTCATTTTACCTTCATGTTTCCACTGTTTATCTTTGTAAAGCCAATCCAAGGAACAGAACCAAAATATTCTAACTGTCCTCTGGTATTTCTTAGAGTTTAGTTCAAAAAAAAAAAAAGAAATGAGCAGAGAGGTCAAAATAGTTAAACTGGATCTATTTTATGGGTTTCAATAGGTCAGGGTTCTTTGGCTTAAGATAGTACTTTGAAAGGTTCCACCGATGCATTATTTAAAATCATTTTATTAAATCTTCAGCTTAAATAAATGTTACTATGCTGATCTAAAATTTTCCTAAAACAAATAGTAAAATTACCTTATTCAGATTATGCAGAAGATGATTCTTGAAATAGATAATAATTACAACCAGGGAAAAAAGAGAGAATCCAACTGAATCAGTAAGACTTGACACAGGAGAAGCAGTGTGTTGGCCTTCTGTCCCCCAGAGGACAGGCTTGGTCAAGGACAGCTCAGAGTAGGCCAGGTTCCATCAAAATATCACTTCAATTTTACCATCTCCAGTACACATAAAGGTAACTACAAAGTTTGATATGCAGCCTCAAAATATCATTGATACAGAAAAATTCTTGATAGTAATTCATAATGAAGAGATTTTAAGCCCCCCCCCAAAAAAAACCTTTACAGTAATGTGTATGTAAGGGTTAAAATATAAATGAAATTTTATTTTGAAATTACTTTCCTCCCTTAAGTAGAAAAGGAATAGTTTGTGTATTATAGAAAAAAATACCCTTTCTAATAATTGCATTACTGTAGTAACAGTACAGTGAACATCCTTCTGTGGCAGCCAGAAGGTATGCCCCTCAGATTGTCCCTCCAGCAAGCACCTGCAGGACTGGAGCCCAGACCACTCCTTCCCAGGCAGTCCTAGCCCAGGATTGAGCAGAGTAGGGGGGTAGAGGGGTCAGGACCTAGACCCTTCTGCCCTGTGAAGGCTGCCCTGGCAGGTACTGGACTGGCCCAGACTCTGCCAGGTCTGCATGGCTTGTGAGCCTCTCTCTGTGGATTCTGCTTCCTCCCCTTTCTCCTCCAGGGCCTGACACCGCTTCCACACACAGCCCTCTGTCCCCCACAGAGGTTCCTCCTTGATGTCAGAAGGCAGCAAAGTGTGGTAAATGCCAGAGAGGGGCACAACCCAGAGCTGTCAGGGCAGCAATGGGGGCAGAGTTTCAGCAAGGTGCAGATCAGCTCAGCAGAGAAAGGACAGGCTTGTGCCAAGAGAACTGGACTCCTGCATGCAAAAAAAGCCCGCCACATCCAGTTACCTCAAAACAGATCATAGGCCTAAAAACTATAGAAGAAAAAGTATAAAGTCTTCATGGCCTTAGGCTTAGGCAAAGATTTCTTAGATACGAGAAGCGTGATCCACAAGACAAAAAAAATGACAAACTGAACCTAATAAACTAAAAAACCTCTGCTCTTCAAAGTACAGTTAAGAGAATGAAAAACCAAGACACATACTTGACTAAAAGATTTATAAGTCATTTATCTCATAAAGGACTTATGTAAGAAATTATATATTTTCAAAAACTTGTACAACTAGAAACAAAATAACTCAGTTTTTTAAAAATGCAGAAAGATTGGAACAGACGCTTCACCAAGGATATAGGGATGGCAGATAAGCACACAGCATTGAATCAACATCATTAGTCATTAAACAAATGCAAATGAAAACACAAGGTGTCACTGCATGCCTACCAGAATGACCTAAAAAATTATCTGGCAAGGATGCAAAGCAATTGTTAGCGGGAATGCAAATTCTAGCACAAACATTTTGGAAAACAGTTTGGCAGTTTCTGAAGTTAAAACACACAACATACTCAGCAATCCCACTCCTAGATCATCAGCCCAAGGAAAATGAGAACTAATACTCAAATAAAAACCTGTATGTGAATGTATGTCTACAGTAACTTTTTTAAAAACTGTTAAAAACTGGAAACAGCCCAAATGGTCTTCAAGTG